ATTTTAGGAAATATTATCATTTTGGTAAAAGAAATTATGCGCAATAACTTTATCAAGTATGGAATTAAGCCCATAGGTATAATTAATAAAGTATGGTACCGATTTCTGTCACCAGAAAGTTTTAATGCGTGTTCTTGGCACTTTCGGAGGTAGGTAAGTGAACTTATATCGTTATTTTTAAGTATTTCCACTTTTAGTTTGTGGGGTGGTCCGGATAAGGCGGGTAGAGCCAGTTAGAGCACCTACAACAGGTTAAATATCTACGTTTGAAAAACATCTCTAATTTGAGTATAATCGTTCATCGATCTTCGGTTATCGACTACAAGTCGCGCCAAGTTCGTGCTTCGGTGTTTTTTGTGTATGTCACCTTGTCACGCACATCTTGTGGACAAAATAAGATAAAGTATCATTCGTTTCTAAGTATTGAAGTAAAACTTTAATCAAGCTGGCTAATCTTTATGAACCAGGCTTGTTGGTATTTTAAAATTCTAATCAGGAAAGGGGAAAAAGTTCTCCATCATAAAATATTCTATTAATAAAGTTGAAAACAAAGAGTTGGAAATGAAATAAAATGATTTCGCTTATTTAAATGCTTTTTTGTCGAAGGCGCAGGTCTCACCTTACATGAAATTGCCGCTCAAAAAAAAAAGAAATACCCATGAAACATTTATTTAGCAAGCGTTCCGTTCATTTCGAGTCCTTTGTTTTCTCTCGGTGCCGAGGAACGAAGTGAAATTGGTTTTAAAAAGTTCTTAAAGCTCAGAGTAAACATTTTTGCTCGATGATTCATTTTAGTCGGATAAATTACAACGGCATTTCTATTTCTACAGCTTTACTTTAGCCATCTTTGCAGTGCTTACACGAAAGACTTTGTAATAGCTTCAATTTTCTTTTAACATTTCTAAGACTAAGTTTAAGAATAAACAGTCTAAGTAAAGTCTAAATACAACTACAATTCTCAGACATTTTTTGTTCAGTTATTTTTGGTATCACGAATATTATTTGATTGCCATTTGGACAGCTATTAAAAATAAACCATTTCCATCAGCTAAAGAAAAAAAAGCGTATACTTATCTGGAAGTGAATTTTGTGAAAGTTGAAAACCGTAGCTTTAATATGCGCGCTTTGATAAAGCTGCACCTTTATACAGCCACTGTGCTAATAGAGCCCGCAGCGGAGCAGCTTTTCACTGGACCAAGCACTCGATTTTCTCTTGCTCCACACCATTTCTCGTTTTCAAAGACTATATTCAGATATGTTGCGACAAAATTTGTATATGCACAGGTCAGATGTTTCTATTTAGTTTTTTTAATACTTAATATGCGTGCGGTATTATTGGATCTAGAATATGCAAAATAGTCATGATTTTCATGTTAAAATCAATTGAAAAAAGATTTTTGTATAAGGTATCCCCATAGACTTAAATGAACATAAGGATGTCCCACAAATTCCCATAAAAATTTTCGTTAGCAAAATGATGTAATGGTAAATGGTTCGTAAATCGATCGTATTTAAAGTTGACTAATACCAACTAAAACATTAAACTTATTCATTATACTAGCGGCCGCCCGCGACTTCGTACGCGTGGATCCCGTTTTACCCCCTTCATCTATCTTACACGGTTTAGATTTTTTCATACAAATGTTTTTTCCGCTAACTCCCGTTCCCGTAGCAATTTTGCAATATCCTGTTGTAACTAAGCATTAAGTTTACTAAGGTACCTGCATGCCAAATTTCAAGCGTCTAACTTAAGCGGTTTAGATTTTTCATACAAAAGGATTTTCCCGCTAATTCCTGTTCCCGTGGGAATTCCTAAGTGTATACTTAGGAATTCCTTATAGAAACAAAAACTACTATAACCTGCCCGAGAGAGAATAAGAATAATTGTACCAAGTTTCGTTAAAATCGAGTAGTTTTTGTTTCTATAAGGAACATACAGACAGACAGACAGACAAAAAATTTACTGATTGCATTTTTGGCATCAGTATCGATCACTCATTACCCCCTGATAGTTACTTTGAAAATATATTTCATGTACAGAATTGACCTCTCTACAGATTTATTATAATTTAAGTATAGACAATAAATAGACAGCGGCAGCGTTGTATAGCCGTAACTCGTAGTATGAGTTGCTACGAAGCCTCGTAGTTCTCGTAGCAGGTGAAACCGCTACGAGCTATCGTTCCGTCCGACTACGACGCTGAACGTACGAGTGTGAAGGGGAGAATTCAAATGTACGTAAACGATGATATCGAGCTACTTCTATCTAAATTATGTATTTAATTTTGCAATTTGGATGGAAATTCCCCAAATCCCAACCATCAGATAGGATTTTTGTGTAATTCGAATTCTTAACGATCTCCATTACCAATAAACATCACTGTTATCGTTGAAAATCACCGTGAACGGGTCTAATCTAAGCATCCGATCCAAATTGTTCGTAATTATTAAGCTGATACTCGCTTGATGTACGTTTCACTTCTCCCTATAATTCATATCGCGGGTTTCATTTTCATGCCGTTTATTGTTGTTAAATATTATTAGCGTTTTATTCCTGACGATTGCTCGTAATTACTCAGATTTATCGTGTAGTATTCAATGAAAGTCAACAATTTGTTAATACGAACGGAATCTGCATAAATGTTATTCTCATTAAATGCATCTTTGTGTGATATTAAAGCAACTTGTACAAAGGAGTTGCCGCGAATATAGTTGCAGGTGAAGACAGACTTTTCCGCTTAGCGGAGCGTTAATTCATCAGCAGGAAGCCTCGCTGCCTCACTGGCTTGCGTATAAGGTGACGTCACACTCTGTGACGGATTCTTGTAAGAGGAAAATTATCCGTAGCTGTTTTCCCCTTACATGTAATATGATGAGACTACGATAAAAAGCTCTACTCTATTCATGAAATGTCATGAGATGACCTTTCAGAGATAGATACCTGTTCTGACCTTCGAAGAACGAACCTATATTTACTTTTGTGTGCTGTCAGGTCAATGTAAACAATTCAATGTTCTAAACAAGCTTTAATTTCTATAAATATCGTCCTTAATACCACATCTACCATACCTTACACATGAGTATAGGTACTATACATATGTGGCAAGTCCAACTCCCTACCTAACCAAAGCTATAGGCGGTAATATTCGACATTCGCAAATACCATTCCATACAACATAGTTAAGTAGGTACGAGCTTACCTCGAAATAGCACAATGGATCAAATAATGCTTTGTGCTAAAATATTTTGGGGCTTGCTATTTTAAGGGCTGATTTTTCAATCGTTGGTTAAGTTTTAACTGAAGAATAGAACTGTCATTTTGACTTATTTCCCATACTAAAACTGTCAATATGCCAAACTTATTCTTCAGTTAAAAGTTATCCAGCTATTGAAAAATCAGGCCTAAGCATAATAAAGAACGTTGGATATGGAATAACGGGAATAATGTAGGTTTTCGTTTAATACACATGTCTCAAATAATGTGATATTTTCGTTAATATTTTTGTAAAACTATGCTTCTATAAATAATGTCGTTCTGAGGGTGTAAACTTATTTTATAGTTTAATGAAGCTAATCTAGAAAGAGCACACAATGGGCTCTGGCAAAGCTCTCGTGGCGCTATTAACTCGTCTGTTTGCGGCTGTACCGTGCAATGAGCATTGCTTTGATGGCAGTCGGGTAGCCTGGAAATCAATAGTGAGTACGACAAATTGGCAGGCCAGCTGATGTTATAGATCTGTGGGATATTCAGTCGTGTTAATGGAAGCCGAAACAGTGGTAATTAAAAATATCGTTAGCAATACATTGAGTTCTTTAAGTCAGATTTTAGACTTTTTAGGCCTAATGAGATTAATAAATAAAGCAATTTATTCTTAGAATATGACTTTTTTTTAACCAAATTACAAATATAAGAAGGTACTATTTTACGTCAGATAAGAACCATTTCATTGGACACTTTGAATTTGTAAAGAAGAGAAAATGAATGTTTTATGTAGCGCTAAAATTTCATTTGAGAGCGGCGTCAACCACAAGGAATTTTAATTACGACGTAATAGCAATAAAATCATGGCAGCTCACCCCACGTCCAACCTCTTCATTGTGTCAACACACATTCCTTTCCTTTCGCTGGTTACGAACATAATAAAATAACTAATATAAGAAAAAGAAGCAACAATTGAAAGCTCAGTGCTCGCTTTGATTTATAGCTAAGTCAGTAAAAATGAATTTAGTATTAAGTAGTCATGGATCACCTCAAACTTGAATGGTAGTTGGTAGGTAACAATTCACTACTACTTCTCCGTATTCTATTTCCTTAAAATTTTGGCAATAATTTCACATTTGTTTGTACTTTTGGGGAGCAAGGGTGTGTTATTTTAAACAGTTACCATGACAATTAAAAGTTACTAGAAATAATAGTTTTTACTTTTTTCAATGACCTTACAAATAAACAATTATTCTATTCTATTCTATTCTATACAATCTGCAAATAGTGTGTTGGTTTCGAACTCGTAGCAGTTCTACGCAAATATCTTCAATTCAGAAAGACTACATCTAAATATTTAATTCGTAAGAAACATTTTTGAAACGAATCTAAAATTTCTTTCTTCGTTGGCAATCTCTTTGTGCCTGTTGGGTCTCAAAAGGTTTAAAAAGCTTTTCGTGTTGTCTCCATTTAGACGTTTGTACATCTTTATTTTTGACTTGAGTGGTCTTCAGGGCCTACCTGTGAAAGTGTTTTAATGTGTCTGCAGGTATACACTATTAAAAACAAATGTAGCTACCCAAATAACGTAGAAAGGATTCTAAAGTTGTAAAGTGCGCGTCGATTTAAAGTACGGGAAGAAAATTTACAACTTCAGATATATTTGAGATATACCTAAGTACCTACTACTAATTGGTATTCCTTTTTAACATTGCTTGCAATAACTAGGTAATACTTAATAACATAGCTATAACTTACACAGTAATAGACCACACGGGCTCTATTAAAGAGGACTTACCTTTTTCATGAAGGACATCACATTTGTAGGCAGCATGGTGGCGCTTTGTCTGTGTCCGCTGCACTTGCACTCACATCACTGCACCGCACACTACCGCTCTCCGCCGCGGATCAGTCCGGAATCAACACGCTGCCTCCGAAACACGACATTTGCACACTAAACTAGCACTTATGTTTTTGAAACCGCGACTGCACTGATTTTACACACGCGCCGTTACGGACCTGAAACAAACGAAAAACATTGATTAAGTTGTATAATTAAGACATCGCGATTGAGCTTGGAGGCAAAGGCTAAAAATAGCTGTATGTCGTGTAGACTAAAGTACGTGGTACCTCAAAGCCGACCGCCCCGGAGCACCGCCGAGACCGAATGAACGGGCGAGGACGATATAAGTGTTCAACAGGTCCCAGTTTGTTCATAGAGCTTCGTCTTCTGTAGATCACTTACCTATCTGCCTACTCCTAATTACATTTTGTGGAGCGTAGAGGGTTGAAAGGATGCGTAATTGTAGCTTATGAGGTGCCATTGCACAAAGATTAAAGAAGCTAGGACGTGACCTCATTTTTAATAGAGGTTGTGATGTTATTCGAGATATTTAATAAAGTGAAGGAGATACGAGACTAAACTACAAAAGAGATTACTGGGCCTATACTCGTAGTAAATGCCTATCCTCCTAAAGGTGCATGCATATGGGGGTTATTGTTTTTGTATAATTATGTAAGGTAAGATATGAATAAAGCCTATAATGTATACGTTTGGAATATATTTTGATTCTGAATAAATCTGCCGCCCCTTAAAATTTGCCGCTCTAGGCTTTAGCCTATTCAGCCTGCTGGTAAATCCACTGTAAACATATTTCAAAGTGTACAATATTTATCTTAATTGATTTATGTCGGCATAGATTTTGAGTTCTGGAGGAATGATACCTAGTCAAGTCTTTGAGCAGTGTGTGTTGCCAGTGATGGTATACGGATCTGAGACGTTGTCGCTTAGGTACTATGGGCCTCATAAGAAGGCTCAAGGTCACCCAAAGAGCGATGGAGCGTGCTATGCTCGGAGTTTCCCTGCGTGATCGAATCAGAAATGAGGAGATCCGTAGAAAAACCAGAGTGACTGACATAGCCCGCAGAATCGCTAAAATCAAGTGGCCTTTGTCCAGGACGTCTTTCGGCTGAAACGAACGAACGAACGATACCTACAGTTGTCACAAAAAATACCCTATGTATTAAATGAGTGAACATGTATTTTACAAGTCATACAAATGCCTACCCTTCAAAATTCGTACCACGGTCGACGGTCTGTACCTACATTGCTTGTCATCGAGAGAGCTAAGGCTATAAAATAGGCATTTACACTTTTTATGTTGGTGCTGTAACTGTAGTAAGACGCTACTAACGTGCCACACGCGTTGTAGTAAGTACTTACTACTTATCACAAAGTGTGTAGCACTAAGCCACTGTTAGTTCTACTACCTATACATAGGTACTACTAAGTGAATTTTGCGGTCTAGTATTTTGCGATTCAGACAAAACCTACGGGTGCGGGTTTGAATCCTTTGACCGCAATGAGTAAATGCAAAAGTTAATTATTGGAAATACATTAACAACATGTGGGATATGATGCTCAACCACAATAAGGAAGCTAGATGTTAGTGCTTCCTTCCGAGCGGGTGTTATGCTCGGGGACCAAGATCCAATTTACACCATCTTGGTTTGTCTATATATACTTGGCAGGATCTAAAACTCCGTCACCGCGATGCAGGTTTGTATGAGCGGCGGAGTGTGCCATAGTGTAGTAGTGACAGCGCCATCTGTTGGTCACTAGTTTGTAGTGGCGTCGCCACAAACATATTACTTATTTAAATAATAAATAATTAAAAACCCAACTAAAAACGTTAACAGTTTCACGAGTATTTTTTTTAAATAAAACTATTAAACGCAGCTACCTATTTTATCATTTTTAACTTGCATTCATATTCCTACTTTCTAAACTATGATAAAACTTTTAACCTACTAGTATTATTAACTTAAGTAAGTTCTGAATAGAAGTTATAAATAAATAAACTAAACGATAGCTTGCGACTTGCAACTGGATTTCCAGCACTGCTGTGACAGTTCGCAACTCTGATAAAATTCCAATCTGCTCTATTATGTAAAGCTTAGTATAAGCTTCCGCAAACGGTGCAAATTGAAAATTCATAGAACAAGTTGGAGGAAGGTTAGCTTCAGCTAACCTATGCTATAATAAACTGCTGGGTTTCTGTGGCACGTAAAGTATGTCGCCCGAAATGAGCCGGTCCGCCTGCCGCTACCTGGGAAGATTGCATCGTCGGATAAATCGATGATCGCTATCTCCAGTCGCCAATCCACCTAGATTTAGATGACATTTTAATAAAATACACCCTATTACGGAACGGTAGCATTTACATAATACGTTTTCATTACAGATTATTAAGAAGAAAAAAACTGGATTTTAGTAGATTTCAGCATTTTTTTTAGAAAATTAAATTTTATGAGACGATTTTTAGGTGGTTGGTTTTATTATAAAATATGTCATTGTAGTAAATAAATACAAAAAAAATAATAAATGAAGGAAAAAAGAGGCGGGCTTACTGCTCAAAAGAGATCTCTTCTTGATAAATGCGGTACCTAGGTATAGTTGTTTGAAAGGAGAAGCAGGTAGGTACGTACTTAAAATGTCTGCAACGGGTTAAAAATATATGTTCAGAATAGTATAAAATAAATAGTAGTCTTCTTTTACACGTAGGTACGCGTTGTAAGTTGTTTAACTAATCACTACACTAAGCTTACAAGCTTAATGAATGTTTGTGTATAAATACAAAATTATAAATCGAAAACCTGCGAATGGCAGCTGTAGAAACAAACCGGGTCGTATTTCCTATACACGAGGCGAAGCGGACGCGAGCTCGCGGATAAATTAAGCCGCTCTAGGCTGACCTCAAACGGCAGCAATTCTACGCCGATAGTTGCGGTTTCCTTCATTTCAATTTCGTTTGTACGCGGCACAACACAGCTGAAATCAATCAATACCATGCATTTTACTTGCACAAAACATACCTGCACAAAGAGTTTCTTTGTTTTAGTATATCTGTTACGGTTAATGTGATAAATTGAAAATTATTAATAATAACCGGTTATTATGAATAATTACCGACAGTCGCGGTAAAAGTGATAAATTAATGACATTTAACAGTGATTATTTAATAATTCAACCTTAGTAAGTACTAACAAATTTCTTAAAAGAGAACAACATCTTGTGTACGTGCTCGTGTACAGCCAAACTTTTGAACGTTTTGATATCATATATTAATATAATTTGGCATAATGAGTTTGGAATGTTTCTTGCATAATATTACTTTTCCATGATGCCTATAACATGTTTTGATTTAAAGTGAAAAATAGGTTAAGGTGCGGCGGGGGTGGCCCTTGGGCCACCCCTAAGCCGCCTATTTAGTTTTATACACACATAAACGACCTCATATTAATCACATTAACCAAATCATGCGGTAATTATTCATAATAACCGGCGATTATTCATAATTTTCACATTTATCACTTTGACCGTAACATATCGACAAAAATATCACACGCATTTGAGCTTAGATAGTGTAATTGCCACTTCGTAGTTCAAATAGAAATAGTTTTTTAAATAGACTAGAAATTCTCGGCACTGTAATGTGTAATAAGTACTTAATAATTACAAGTAGCTACTCACTACTGCTATATGTATATCTGAAATGTACCTACTTATTGAAAATGTGCCTGGAAGTCAGACTGACTTCAAGTCGGTTCAAGACCGGAGTCAACGAATATCTACCATTGCATTATTCCCTGAAAAACGTTTTTTTACTGACTCGATTGCCCTACTTAGTTCCCAACTATATGTATGTATTAGAGCTAAACTTAGATTAATTGGAAAGTTTAAGACTAATCGAAGGATTAGTGTTTATATCGGTTGTGTGGAAACATTCAAACTAATATGAAATGTGTAGATGTTATTGTCTTGACTGTTAGTTAGCTACAATGTGTACCTGATTATAATTAACGAAGTTTCTAGGTCTGGAAATAGGTACAGCAACATCAGTCGAGTAGTGGTATACAAAACAAAATGTCCTTCTATTATTTATTTTATTAAAAAACAACATAATGCAACATATTTATTATTACCATTTTCGTCATACTTTTTATTTAGGTGATTAAAACAAAACATAATGTAACTTACATTTAAATTTGAGAAGTAGCTAAATATAATTTACTGTTGTTTTATCAAAGAAAAAAATAGTTGGTATGCCTTATTTTAGATATTGGAAATTTTTTTTTTACAAATAAACATAATTACTACTAAGTATTCATATCACAATATTTTAATAACTTAGTGACGGAAGAAACAGATTTAAATAGCAACAATTAGCTTTTGAGCAAATAAGAAGACGAAAATACACTAAACAAGGCTCCTGCTGCCAATTGCTTCGGAGCAATGATATTATATAAAAACAAAAGCAGATATGTTATAAGCGCTCGCGCTGTGAATACTCAAATACGTCCCAATTGGGACGTCTTGTGTTTAGTTTAGTCTTCGTGTGGCCTGCGTCGTGCGCAATCGCGTGCGTACCACACCGTAAGTTCCTGTTCTTACCAAAATAAATAAAAAATGCCATCGTGTGTGTTTCGAAAGTGTACCAATTATGACTCTAAAGTAAACAAAATACAAGGGATCTCTTACCACATGTGATTATGCAAAATTATTTAGTATTTATATTTTCAATTATTTATGCAAACAATCAAGACGCCATGCGCCATGTTCAAGTTAAGAAAGAGAAAGCGATCTTGTTTTGACGTTAGAGCGATAAGGATGCGTGCGCTGCGGACATAGATTAGTTAGTGCAGAATCGTTAAAACTATAGCTATCTCTTTCATTTGCGTGCTATTTCGTATCTTTTGTTTCACTTATCAGTTACATTTGTCAATGTGTGCAATTTGGAATAGCTCGGCACGGATTCAAATCGTAATTTCTATGAACGTAACATATCTATAGTTCTTTAATATCATTGCTTCGGAGTAATTATGTCAAATAGTAATAAGCAGATTTGCTAAAATGAAAAAGGATTGTGAATGTTATTTAAAACTAAAATGCTTCAATTAAATTACAGATAGGTATCTATATCAATTGTATACTAAGAATGATAATTAATCAATTAATAATCTGATAAACCTACGAAAATATTCCATACACAACTAAATATTTCAGCAACAAAATTAATTAAAGTAGATGCAAATTAAATCTTAAAAGGACCGGGAAAATAGAATAAATTGTCTTGACAGATTCAGACTTACGACAATCACCAACACTTTGTTATATGCTATTCAGCTTCACCAAGTAACTATACAGATAACAGTTTGTTTCATGCTTCAGCTTACAATAGGGTAGTATGAATATGCAAGAATCATAAAGTGTTAACTCATCCTGTTAACATACATCATAGGCACAGAATAAATGAATAGATCATATTAATTAAACATGATAACTTATCATTCCAAAATTTCTTAGTTATTTTTGGGGTTTGGCATATGGCACAAGGTTCTATTTGTAGTTCCATTATTGGATAGTGAATGTCAGATAATACATTTAATATCAACTTAAGTGAAGCTAAAATAGCAAATCACATCAATACATACAGCAATTACACATACCCAATGATTTGTTATATCTAATATCAAAGGTTACAATATTTAACCATCACCAAAGTATGGTATTGTAAATAATTTTCTAGATGAAGCAATCCATATGTTGATTAAAGGCAGTTTTATCCATAAGGGAAAGCACAGGTAAATTCAACAACATAAATTGTTTCATATTTGTTACTACAAAACAATATTTTTGTTACTAATATGTTTCAATGGTATTATGTATTAGGTGCTATCATATGAAATTGCTGTTTTGTATACAAAGAAAGTTAAATAAAATCCATCAATTTAGAGTTTTTACTTGTTTTGTTTTTAAAATTAATTTAATACTTTGAGTTTGAATTTATCTGTAAACCAAAGACTAAAATCATCGAATACCTAGAAAAAGTTATCTTAAAAATGTGTATTTAATATTTGTGAATTCTGTAAAAAACACAGCAGTTAAATAGGTAGCACCTGATATCGCAAAATTGTTTGCATTACACAATTACGTAATTGAAAAATAAAAGTAAATGAACAATTTCTTTGTGTAAAAGATATTGTTAAAGCCTATTTTGAGTTCCATTACAATTGAATCACACAGTGTTCCATACCAATAATAATTCGTCTCTACATGTAAATTTGGTCAATGGGGACCAGGTGTAATTAATAACATAGATATAAGATAACATCATCTTTATGAATCTCTTTTAATTACACTCTAAATAACAGGCAAGAGACGTAATAACAAATTAATTACACCATTGATAGAAAAATACACACAATCGGTCTTTCATTTTGAGAAATATTCACCACTCTGCGTCGCCGTTTGCTTTTTGAAAGACATAGTCTTTCCCAGCTAAATTCATAATGCCATCTTTTAGGTAGAATTTCCACTTGTTACGACTACGAGTTATCTTGTCATATTGGCAGACAACCACATTATCAGTGTCAAACATGTCACCGGGTTCTTCATCTGACACGTCGTCACCAGAGTTGAGAGGCTCCTCCTCCGCGCCCCCGCTCTCGTCGCGCTCCTCCTCCTCCTCCTCCGCCCGCTCCTCCGCAGACTCCTCGTCCTCGTCATCGTCACCTGCACCATCTTCTGAACCATCCCCAACATTGGATCCTTCATCATCTGATGAATCCAGGGCTCCGTCTAATGAGAACGGAGCAGCACCACTACGACCACCCCCACCACCATCAAATTCGTTTTGCTGTCCGGCTAGCGCAGAGTTTATATGTTGTTGCAGAAGAGTGGCCGCTAGTGTTTGCGGCAAACTAATAGTTGCATTGATGATAGGTCCTGTGAGTACTTGATGTAGCTTGTTACCGTTGAGGGCCGAAGCTGGTATTTGAATTGTAAAGGAACGAGGCTGCGAGCCTGGCACTCCAGGCTGAGCGGGTAGCGTGAGCTGCACGGGCACTTTATTGTTCGGATCGAGTATGTGATGTGGATGTGTACCAGCGATGTTGGAGGATGGAGCACCATGTTCAACACCAGAGTTCTGACTTGTGCCTTGGGCCATATGAGAGTCGATGCTTCGTTTAGGAATAATATTACTTCCGTTAGCTTTTTGGAAATTTTGTAACACTGGCGGCGGAGGCATAGTTGGTTCTAGCGCCGGGGGGTCCATCGCGCCGCTGGCTTGTAATTTGGTTTTCCATAGTTGCTTTAGTTCCTGAAGCACCTGTTCATCTACACCATCATCCAAGAAACAGTCTCGAACGCCAGCTATCACGTCGTCCACTACTGTGTTGTACAGTTTCAACACTGATAACTGACTCATAGTACCAGTCATTTTGTGCTTTTGGTAAACTCTTTTGACAAACAGATACACAAATTTCTTTGAAGTCCAGTACGCTATTTTGCGTATCGGATAACTTTGGAAACGAGCAATGCGTATTGACTTCGTAGTTTCGTGTTCACATTTCAATTCAATGTCAAGTGACACTCGAGATTACACAGCCATTTAGTAGGAAATAATCTGCGCTTATTCGCGATCTCACTTCTCATTCACTGAACGACAACTTCACGTCCACTCCATGTCTAAGAACAATGAATAAATTCCAGGAAAATATTCAACATAAATTTTGACAATTTACCATTTTATAACATAACCTACAAACAAAAAAGATTTTGCCAGATTACAAAAATTGTCTTTGGTCACAGACCACAGTAAGTAATTGACAGGCAGACGACGCATGCGCGATATCAGCGCCACTCCAACTGGTGGGCGATAGCCTGCTTATTCCGCCTCGCGCGTATTGAGTTTGCGCTGTACGTTCAATGAAAATTGATTTTAAAAGACCAAAAATAACTTATTTTGCGCGTAAAAATATTCCGCAACAATTAAAATTTGTTTTTATTTACAATATTTTTTATTACGGCTAGCAACATTAAGTTGTCTATGGTTTTATCAAAGAAAATATTTTTCTACGTTCCATTTTACTCAACATTCAAATTAAACGTGAAAAAATAACTTGCAATCGTGAAGTTTAACAACTATAGAGTGGTCACTCAACTTAATTTTATTAGTTCGTGTTTTGTAAATTACCTGTAGTTACTATTTTATATGATTTTTTTTTAGATGTCTTGGGTCTCTACTGAGTTCAAGGTTCAAGTTCCTATTTTCTGTTGCGTTCGCGAGCGACACAGGGCAATACTTAGATTAATAAAATAATCTAAGGGGCAATACCAATACGATAGCCATAAATAAAAACCGGCCAAGTGCGAGTCGCACTCGCGCACAAAGGGTTCAGTTCAGTACAACTGTAAAGGTTAAAAATATTAATTTTATTATTTTCAACCGACTTCAAAAAAAAGGAGGAGGTTCTCAATTCGACCCATAAAGTTAATATTCCTTCGGAAGAATATTTACTTTATGATTCGACCCGTATGTTTTTTTTTCTATGTTTGTTACGCGGTAACTCCGCCAATTATGAACCGATTTGAACAAATTTTTTTTCGGCGTATAGGTAATACCTCAAGGGTGGTCCCATTTAAATTTAATAATAGAAAAAACAACCCCCAAGGGTGGAAAATTGGGGATGAACTTTTTTATACGCAATATTTTTAATTTTTAGATTTTTTTTGTGTTCACGCATTTGAAGTCGGTTTTATTTTTAAAAAAAGTTAATTATTAAGTAAATATACAACTACACTACACTGGGCACGGCTAACAAACGGTAATTTGATTAACATCGTTAATTCAAATAATTTATTTTAAACAACACACATAATCCATTGTTTTACTTTCACAGAAAATACCAATATTACAAGTATAATCGGAATAAGTACGAAGTTAACCTGTCGATCACCAAAGGTCGCACAGACTTCAAGTTTGTTAGAATGTAATACATGCAGCGAGCCCCGCTGGACTGACGGGAATTTGCGCTCGATCGATGCCAGGATGTCACTACCTCACCTGGCGGACGAACAAACTGTACATTCCACCAATTCCACTTTAGAATGAAATTGTTATGTAGGTATGTGTAAGGAAGAACTAAATAAAGATAGATACTAAGTATTAAGCCTAACACTTGTTTTTATTGTAGTTTATAGTAGGTAAATTATTATAAATTATAAAAAAATAAAGTAAAATATAGTAAAAAACAATCAAACAGTTTAGATATCCCATCAAAGAATTAAATTTTCTTTTATCATATTGTATATCCGAAATGGATAACTGTTGAAACCACTAAATTACATAATGTTACCACCTTTTGTACACAGCATTGACAATAAAATTATTATGATTATAATTATGGAGGCTGGTGGTGGAGGAATCGGAGCGGAATCGGATATAAGTAGCTAAGCTGTCAAGTCCCCGGGATCCGATAATTGTGTTCCATGACTTTTTATAAGAAAAAAGTAAAAGATAGAAACAAAGTAAGAGATACAACCAGGATTCTCTTCTTTAAAATATAATAAATAATTATTTTAATTTAGAGGCAGGACGAATAATCTTCCCTTAGGTACTGAAAATCTTGTCGAAGACTGACAGATTTGCTCATGAATGTCAAATTGCGTACCGTACCTACTAGGTACCTACATAACGTATTTCTACACCACACTTAAGCCCAAGTGTTTTGCTATTAGGGCGCACGCAATTTTGGAATATTACAAGTAGGTAGTATAATAATAATGATGCTGCCTAAATCACATTTTAATTATTTATGGAATAATAAATCTTACACAAAATAACAAGAAGCAAAACTTTTGGCTGAAAACTGAATCTACAAGATAAAGAGGCAAGGAGTTTGGATTTTATGAGCAAATCGTGTTAATTAATATAAATTAAAATAGTGTCAAAATCAGCTGTACCTACGTTTAATATTCTGTCAAAATTCACTGATTGTAATATTTTTTTTTATGAAAAACAAAACCCGCTACTAGTACCACCAGTTCTATGGTTGTAAAAGGAATCCGATTAGGTTCTAGATTACGAGAGTTATTCGTGCTCAGGGTACTGAATACGTTTTATAGTCCCATTGAGTCTTTGCCAGCGCTGCTTTGCGGCTAGTGGAGCTACTCATGCGCCGGACAAATAATCGCTAGCCTTAGGGCTATAATATGTATAGCTCGCTTAAATTTCTATTAGGTAAGTGCGGTGTAATTACACTGGCAGTCTAGCAAGTTACAGCGAAAATGTGTGAAATTTTTGTTGGTAATTAGTAGGTAACATTTGTGATGTGATGATGATAGGTACTTAAATTAAATTAGCACGGTAACTTGAACACAAGTTGGTTGTACCTACCTGAAGTAAAATGTGTTTTCTTTGTAAATACACTTTTTACAAGAACTTAAATTTAAGTAAGCATTGGAAGGATACGATCTTTGCGTAGTACCTATTGAAATACGCAACATGGACTGAATTCCCGATATTTCATTTTTTCAAGGTAACTGAAAGTAGATCGTGTAATGTCGAGGAATCCAGGGTGGCTTTGCGGAGGGTGCCGCGTCGCTCGAGCCACACCTGGGACGCTCGGCCTCCGCGTTGTGTACTCAGTAACCCCACACAAACTTATCTAGCTCTAAAAGGCTTTGGATTCGTGTTTGTTTTATCCAAAGGATAGATCGACTTTGCATCCTTTCCGTAACACGGAACCTTTTCAGTTACAAATTTTTCATTCGTTTGAATTTCATTATGACGTATAAAAACCCTTAATAAATTCGGGTTTTCCACGGCGGACGAAATTATAACGGTCATTTTATTATTCTTCTTATATCTGAGCGAACCATTATTCTGCGATGTGCTCTTTGTCTTTAAAGCCAACTAACTTTTTTGTGAACAATGAAATTGTAAATGGAACGTCTCACTCATTTTATAGTCAGAGCACTTTTAAGTATTTTAGGTCGGTTCATTCCTTACAAAAGATATGTTAAATTAAACCCATACTAACATTTCAATGCAAAAGTAACTCTGTTTGTCCATTTGTATATTACCTACGTTTCATAAAAAAAACACTAAACTATTAGTAGGCTAGGTACCTAATTCGGTATTCGGTACCTATTATTACGGTAGGTGGGATCGAGAAGGAAGGACATAAGTATTTCTCTTGAAAACTTTATGGGGTTGAAAGAGGTGGATGTGAAAGCTTGAATAGGAACTCATCATTGTTAAGTTTGTTAATCTACGCTTTTGGTAAAAACAGTGTTTGTGAACAACTAACGTAACGAAGTACTTACAGACTACTCGTAGTACTTATTAAAGAATATTTTATTTACTTTTTGATTGATCTCGGTCTTAAATTGACGTCGAGGAATAAGATAGGTATTGTTAAAATGTTAACTTTAACACAATAGATTAATTAATTTACTTGGGATTAAGTAAATCAGTAATTTGAATTGATAAATAAGTGATACTTAATGCAAATAGATACCGATTGTTAGGTAGGTATTCATTATTTTTGCTTCAGGGAAAACGCGAAATAATGATTCGCCTCGTTAAACACAATAATTTTATTATAAGTAGGTAGGTACCTAAGTCTTATCTCGATTACTGAAGTAGGTATTTATTAATTGGACGCATAAATTGTATTTTATCACTGTCCTGAATTTTATTGCTGCTAAGCAGAAATACCTACTACAGCTGCCGAGCTTGTCGTATAGGTAAGTAGGTAACGGACAGTTAGGAAAATCTTACAAGTGTCCAATTATGAATATTGTATTCTAGTTGTTACGATCATAATTAATTAACCTATTAATGATATGATTAATCTAATAACTATACCTAGGGTGACGGCACCAGTAATGGACACGGCACCAATTATGGACATTTTTTTCGTTGATCGAATTTATTAAGCAACTGTCGCAACATTTTGAACTGGCAACACTAAAATCACAATCAACAGACGTTTGGGCTATCATATTGACACACGTCACCAAAATCGGCCACTTTGTTTTAAGATAGCTGCGAAGTGAAATCTCGTTGCGCGCGGTGGTCATGAAAATCCGTTTTTACTATTGAAAACGTTAAGGAAGTGAGTACATATTTGTGCATGGTGCTATCTTGTGTTGTGTTATAATGAGATTTGATGTTATTTTCACTGAATAATAATAAATACCAAGTAAATTGAGCTAAGTTAAAAATGTCTTATCACAGCCATAAGTTTTTTCTGGGGTTTGTTCATTACTGGATTCGATATTTTATGAAATTCAGTAATGGACAAGTGTCCATGCTTAAGTTTTTAATTTATTTTTTAGTTTATTGTATTAAATTATTTAATTTGATGCACTAAACATTTGGGTTGAGTTGATTTTGTAATTGCTGTTTATTTTCCAATGATGGACGATGTCCATAACTGGGTATTTTTAGTTGTCCATAATTGGGTTCTTTGTTTTGTCTTAGATGGCACCAANATGAACCCAGCCGGATATTTAGTACCGACGGAAGCGCATTTTGTCACCAGATGGTTGATTGAAAGTCTGATACTTGAAAATCGAAGACTGATCATGTTGAAAGTTCAAATAGTAGTAATAAAAGTTGATTTGTGACATTATTTGTTTCATTCATGTGTTCAATACAAAAGTGTCCATTAATGGATGTTCATAATTGGGTCCATGTCCATGACTGGGTGTCCATTACTGGATTTTTGATGTCCATCAATGGTGATTTCGTAAATTTCAATATATATATTTTTTATTAATTATCTATTAAACATACATGA